TTTGAGCTTTGCTTTTTGCTAATGCGTTTTGGTTGATTACCAGCTTCAAGCCTCCCTTTGACAGGTCTCACTGGGCAAACCTAAGTGAAGCCAGTGAGTACCAGCAGGACTGTGCCTACCATGCTTATCTTTCTACATGAAACCTACAGAGCCAGATCTGCTAATGAAGTTTTACCAAGCTAACAGACCTTGGGAAGGCTATCAAACTGTCTGCCTGTGGGGTGGGCCCTAAATTCTCAGGTCTTTCCTCTGAAAAGGATCCCTCAGGGGTGGAGCAGGGTAAACTTCATTGATGAGTGCTTGAGACATGTTTTGGGAGAGGTTTACTTACACATATCGAAGAACTCCATGTCTTATCTTCCCAAGGTTGGATCAGACAGTATGATTGGGTCATCCACACAAATTGGAGAGAAGACATCCATCAAACACTCCATCATCGGCAGCATGTGTACCATAAAAGACAAAGTTAAGATAACAAACTGTATCATCATGAATTCTGTTACAATTGAGGAAGGGTAGGTTACTTTTTTGTACCTTAGTTCCCTAAATTTGCAGTTTCTTTTTCTAGATAGGTCCTGAGTCAGTAATTTTTATTGTGTAAAGAATCCTTAGCCAGAAGAGATGATACCGGGGAGTGTGTTTCCAAGGACCAAGTCACAGATAAGTCTCTATAAGCAGTCCAGAAGTGCACAACTGAAATGAACTAACAAGAAGGCTGCAGTCTTGGAACATAAATTTCTTCTTTTTACAGTTGACCCTATCATCCTCAGAATGTGTAAGAAAGTTAAATGGATGTATGAGTCTGTATGAACTTGTGTGTCATTCTTCCAAGCTTGATTTTAGTGGCTGGATCAGTGAGTGTACCTAAAATATTTGAGGCACAAAGCATATTTTAAAGTGGTACACTTGCCAGCATTCTTCTCACATTTGAACATTACGGCTTCACCTAAAATGTCATTTTCTTTGGCCCTTTTTTGTCATCCTGCAGCCTTTACTTTAGCATTGCCTATGCTGAGTAATAGAATAAATTAATAAACTTTTCAAAGAGAAAATCTGCCAGCTAGTAGAGGTTTCTCGTGCACTAAAGACACTGACTAAATAGTTAGCCTTGAGCTGTACTTTTCCAAATGTGGGAAAAGTGGCCTGTCTGTAATTGTTGATGTCTGCATGCCCCCATCTTTCCATACATGCTGGCTTCCTGTGGATGTCAGTGGAAAGGAAACTGCTGATTGAGTCTGTGCAGACCTGTATAAATTCTCTGCTCCTTCATGGCTTGAGGTTTGTTTAGGGCCTCAGGAAAAAGGCCAAACTATTAAAAAATGCCAAGTTGGCTCTGAAAGTTGCATATCTGAAAAACATAAAACCCCAGAGGATGTGGGGTCTGTGGAGGATACTACTGTTACATAACTAAATTACAGGTAAGTATGGTACCTTACCACAAAGTGTTTGTCTTTAATAGAAATCCACAGTAATTTCAAGCACATCATAAATCAGAATTCCATTGAGTATAGAAAATAGCTGGTTTCCAGTTCAATCACAGATGGATCCAGTATGGCTGTATCACAAGCACTACTATCATAAAAAGTGGAGGAACCTCTCTCATTTGATCATGAGACCCTCTGTCATTTTGATTAATGCATTGATGCCACAATCATAGTGGTATGGTTTTGTATATGAGGTCAGCAGCTCTACCATTAAATCGCAGAGCCAGCTAAGTGTATAAATAGCACTATTTTTATGAAGAGTCCCAAATCATCTTGTGTTTGTCTGCATTGGCATTTAGTAGTGTTCTAAATCCTAAATAGATCCCAGAGCTGTTATGTTAAGCATTTCACAGAATTCCACAACCATCGTAAAGTTGGTGATATATTTTTTAAGAGAGATAAACTGACTTTTGGGGTAACATTTTTGTGAATTCTAGAAAACAATGTGATCCCTAGTCTCTTTTGGTGAAAACAATATAGCCACCAGAGAGTGAAAAACCTCACAGTCCCAGGGGTTTACCCCCTTTAGCTGCTCTATGGTTACTGCACGCTGATGCACTGGAGTCAAATTTGTAATTATTCCTCTCCAGCCAGCATTAAGACTATGCTGCTGAGTTTTGTTGAAAGAAGCCTTGCTTGCAGTGAAGGATTTCTTTGTATTTGTTAATGTATTGTGACTCTCTTCCTTTACTTTGATTAAATCTGATAGATTTTTGTTAAAATGCTAATCATTCTTAATCATGTTGATGGATCCATTTGCAACAGATTGATAAATTATATGTGTTTTTACTTTAAACTGTCCACAGTGGACAACCCCTCATAAACACCTCTTCTCCCAAGTGTTTCTAAACCAGCTCAGGCTTTATCTAATCACATCTTCAGAAAACATCTTCATCTTGAATTGGAAAGTCAGCATGTGTCGGCTGATATGGATCAAAATGAGCATAATAAAATGCCTTGACAGATCTAATTAATTTTTTTTTTACTGCACAGCAGATGTCCTACAAGTAAGCCAGTTTTGCCAACTAAGGTATTGTATATTAGAAACTTCTGAAATTGCATTGAGAAGTGGATAAAAACTCTGTCATTTAAAGAATATACATTTTAATGCTGACATGAGCAGCTCAACTAGACTAATGGTCTACTATAATAATGCCCTAGTCCAATGGGAGTGGTAACTGAAGGCTATTCCCAGGAGTGCTCATTGCAGTAACACCAACTTGAAGCAGTAGGCTGAGAAGACTGCATGCACTAGGACACTTATTATGGAAAAGAGAAAGGTGTATAGATAACTCAGAAGAAATCTTTTCTTTTAAAGTGGAGATCCTGGGAACAACCAAATGCCAAAATTGCTCTGCATTCTAAATTCATTTATCAAGAGCTACATGGCACTGACTTGGTATTTCCCTTGCCTCTTCCATCACCTCTGGCTTCTCTGAATCTGAATCTTTTTTTTTTCCCATCTCAGCTGCTAAAGCGATCAGCAGCTTCAGTTCCCTATGTCAATATAGAAAAAGCAAAACAAAACAAACAAACAAAACTCACCAAAAGCAAAATTAAAAATATTAATCTCTTGGTAGTTTTCCTATAATGTGATTGAGGATCCTGTGCCATAATTCCTGCACAAATTATATCTCCAAACCAGAAAAGAGCTTTTCAATGGCCTTACCACATGTAATGCCAGCTTCTGAAATGGATAAATTCTTGCTGTGCAGGTGGGAGCACCACAAGATGCTTAGAAAAATACCAGGTTTCTCTTGTTAGGCAGTGGTTGCCTCATTATTGGAGGACCAGAGGTCATGGCCTAGGTGATAATAATTTTCCCAACTGAATGGATCAAGTAATTTGGGTTAGTTTGGACAGTCCATTGCATGCTGTTTGCAAATTATGATCTGTACTCCAGTGATGGCTGGTGCATTTGATACTCTGGAGTACCAGAAGCTGGTTTTTTTGTTTGCTTTGGTGTATAGGGCTTCTACATTACATTATATATGTCTCCTGTGAAGTGATTTGAGTAGATATGAATCCCCCCTTAGAAGAGATTACAGGGGATTAAAGAAGTTAGTAACAGGGCAAAATAATTGGTAGTTCTTTCTTAATGTGTTTCCCACTGTGCAGCTAATTCTTCCATCAATGAGACAATAAAATAGCAAAGATTACATATGTGCTGAATGATGGACATACTTGACCAAGCTGGGAGGGATGTAATTTATACAGCAGCACAAGTGCTGAGAGATGCTGACTGCCCAGGTGACAGGCTGCAGTGGCAAAACGATTCTTTTTTCCCTCTGGATGGCTCCCTAGAGCTCAGTGACAAATGATTGCACTGAGTTACATAGTTGGAGAAAATCTACTAATCAAGCTAAAATCATAGGTCACTTGAAAACTTTGTCTGTGTGGATGTTCCTGCAGCAGCTGTGTGTGTCCTAGTCTCTGTAGTGGCTTGGGACTGCCCCTTCTCCTTGCTCTGTTTGCATCAGGGGTGGAGCAGCACAACAGGGTCCCTGGATTGCTGCATCTTTGGTGCATTGTAGCTCTCTTGCAAAGGGACAGCATATAACACCCACAGACTGACTGAAGCTGGTGGCCCAGGGGGATTGTGCCATTTGTAAATGAAAAGTAATGCCTGGTAGATTTAACCCCTGATAAGCAGAGCTGGCAAGCTGGTCACAACAGATGAGGAGAAGGCTGAGGTACTCAACCACTTTTTTTTGCCTCATTCTTCACTGTCAGTCTCTTTTCCCACACTAGTCTCAACTCTATGGACCATAATACATATGATCAGATATAATACTGATCAGAGGGCTGGAGTACTTCTCCTGTGAAGACTAAAATAGTTGGGGGTGGTCAGAAGAGAAGGCTCCAGGGACACCTCATTGTGGTCTCTCAGAACTTAAAGGGGATTTACAAGATAGATGGTTACAAACTTTTCAGCCCAGCCTCCTGCAACAGGACAAGGGCTAATGGCTTTAAACTAAACTAAGTTAGTTAGACTAGATAGAAGGAAGAAGTTGTTTACTGTGAGAGTTTTGAGGCATTGGCAAAAGTTGCCCAGAGAAGTTAGGACTACCCCATCCCTGGAAATGTTCAAGGCCAGGCTGGATGGGGCCTTGATCAACCTGGTCTAGCTAAAGATGTCCCTGCTCATTTAAGGGGGTATGTATATATACTTTAAAGTATAGACTTTAAAGGTCCTTTTCAACTCAAATTACTCTGTGGTTCTATAAAGTTGTTTCATTTAGTAGACTTGGGCACACTTAGCTGTTTTGAAATGACACTTAGATATGGATGGATTAGTTTAGTTTCAGGTCCCTGTTCTGGCTTTTGTTTTAACAGACAGCGTTGGTTTCTTGGTTTTTATCAAACATTGGCTTTTTATTTTTAGCAGTCTTGTTGTTTTACTTAGCTACCTTCTGGCTGCAGGAACATCTAATGACTCTGGTCATACAGGACCTTGGGCTGAAGTGCTCTGAGCATTACAAATAATATTAACAGGAAAAACATGTTGAATCCTTTAGTAGGGGAAAAAAATATGGTCTTTGGACTACTTAGAGGTTAGTTGAGAAGGCAAATGTGAAAAGCTCAGATAAATACTAAGTCTGCTGTAAGCCATGCTTTGAAAAGGTCTTGTTGATGTGGTGGTAGTCAGTACCATAAGGACTCTGTGGTAGATATAGTCTGAAATGAAGTATTTTGCTGCTTTTCTTTTTTCATGGAAATACAGGAAAGCATTCTGCATCAAATGATGTTTTTATGGAGATCATAAATAGGCTTCTCTGATTATCAGAGAGAGCAAAAGGTCCAAGATTTACTTCTAGATTTCACCTCCACAGCAAGAAGGTACCAGATCTTCACAGAGCAACCAAGGAAGCTAAACCTGTCTCACCTGTAATTTTGCCATAAAAACTGTGTTCCAGACCGTGATTAGCAGTGGGAAAAGGAAAAAGTTCCCTCCAGAAAGAAGTTTGCAGCAGACAGTTGTCAGATAACCAGATGCAGTGGGCAGTTGGTTCAGGAACTCTAAGAGTAGGGTTGCAGGTGTGACTGAGGTTATTGAGTTTTTGCAGGGGAAGGAATCACTGAACAATAGCCTTGTATCTTTGTGAAGTTTACAGCATTTTGTTGCAACCACATACAAACATACTACCCAAAAGAACTGAACTGAACTGCTGAAGTTCCTCATGTGGCATACAGCTAAGGTCACCTTTTGGAAAGGGAAGGGCTTAAAAAGACAGGCAGATATGTTTTGGGTCAGGCTGCACCATGATGCCAGCAAATCACAAAGTGTTGCAGCATCAGGAAACTCGGAATGCAAGGGAGGTGACACCAAAGGCTTCAAGTTAAAAACTGCAGGGAGGTGATGTGAATGTTGAAGACAGAGGGAAAGTTAGAAGAGTCCCACGGGAAGATGTGGTAAACCTTGGGGAGTTCTGACTCCCTGGGCAGAAAGAATAGGCTGGAGTAAAAATTAATATGAAGGACTAAAGTACCCAGATATGTGAAGAAAGAACTGGCACTGAAAATGTTTTGTCCGCCAAAACTGGAATTGTCCTTCTTCAGTCGTGTGAAGACAGTAAATTATGAACTGTATTTTGTTAAAGGTGTTCTGGCTACCTGTGTGAAAGTAGGTGAACAGATGCTGTAATTCTGCTCAGTGAGGGGACTGGAGAGAGACCATGTGGGACTGGTCAAGGCTACTCTAGTTTACCACATATCTTCAATTTATTGCTCCTTTCTATGAGAAAATGTACAAAGGAAGCAAACAACAAGCAAGACAAGCTAGATTGACTACTAACTGCAGATTGATTGTGAAATTTATTGGTTGTTTCCTCAATAGTGCCAAATCATCACCTGATGTAGAAACAGTCAGTGGTTTGAAGAAAGTTCTAATTAAAACCAGGGTGGAATTGAGTCTTTATAGAGGTTCAGTGCATAAGTAGTCTTTTTCCCCTTGGACAATGGCAGTACAAAGGAATGATCCTACTGCCAAGGCAACATATTTTACAGTACATAACCACATGAAAAAGAGTGAGGAGGTGATGTTGTTTTCAGCACCATAGCTTGCAAAGCTGAAAATAAAGATCTGCTGATGCTGAAATTCCCAAACATTTTGTATCTTGAACCATTTTTTAAGATGGCTCTTGTTTCCTGGATGCTTTGTCTCACACTGCCAATTGATTCCTTGTCTCCCTAGAAAAAAGAACAAGTTTAGAATAGATATCATAGAAAGCACATGAAAAGTGAGAACTTGATTCAGAAAAAGCACATGCTCATCTTAAATATTTGATAAAGTATATCATGGATATAGATTAAAATTAAATTAATGAAGAAAACTATGTGTATTGTAGTTCTTGCCTCTAACAAGGGGTCTTACTTCTCTGGATTATGTAGCAGTTCTGTCCTTATTGTCACAACTCTTGGTTTTAAAGTGTGAACATTTTTGGTCAGGAATTATAATTTTCATTCTACTATTTAATTCACTGCAAATGCTATGTAAGATACTGAATAGAGATAACCTCTGGCCAGCAGAGTTTGCTTTCAGGAAGATGAATTGAGGAAGAAAGTGCAAAGTAGGAAGGTAGTAAGTAGGAAGGGGTGGAGCTACTTGGGGAACTGGTTTTCAATTACTTTCAACTGAAGTCGAATTCTACTCTATCCAATGTACTGAGGAAATTTCTCATATAATACCTGTTATCTTGTGAGTGTCTGAAACATTATTACTAGCAGCTCCTCCAAAAATTTTTTCTTCTGGCTAGCTTCCTGGTACATCAATCTGTCTTAAAGAAATCACCTGTTCTTTAATCTCAGATGCAGACTCCCTAATAGTGCAGGGAGCTCGTCCCAGTTTTACAAACATCTTGTACATCAAATGTTGAACTTAAAGCACAGATGAGCCCTGAAAAGTAGCATTTTAAAATATCTCCTCTCATTCTGCTGATCTGCTGCTTCAGGTGGACAGGGTTATGTCTGACTTCAGAGCTATAAATTAGCTTCTGTCTCCTGGTAACCACATGGGTCTAATCAAAGAGTATGGAGATTTTTCACAAGCAGCTGATTGCTGTTGGATTTTGGTGGGAATCTGGGTGTGAATGTCTCTGATGCTCTTTAAAATCTTCCCCCACCTGGGTACAGAAGAGGAAGAAATTATCACAGTGTGCCTCTTAAGTTCCTGAGGAGACAAGGGTTCAGCTAAGATCTAACTTAGATCTAAGTTCAGCTTAGATCTAAGAAGCCCTGGATGACATTTACAAAAAACTTTTCCACGTCAACCTAGCTCAGATGATATGGAAAATGACTTAACCAGTAATGTCTTACAAAGGGCCACAGCCCTCAACCCAGAACTGTGCTTCAAATACCCCAGAGAAGGTGTCCTTTTACTGTGCCTGTTACCTCAGTCTGACTGTGAGAGCTGGGGGGAAAGTGAAGCAAACCCAGAGGTGGTAGTGAACATAAAATTTTCCTGCTTTGTTTCCTTCACATAGACACAAGTAGCTTTTCCTGGCCCTCGGGGAAGTGTCTGTAAAATTGTGTAGGACCTGGCCCTTTGACTCTGCAAAAGAGAATCCAGAGGGTTGTCAATTTTCCTGTGTGAGGGGTTTCCTGGTGTAAACTCCTTGCAGTGTACTTTTGCTGAAGTGTGCAACCCCGAGCTTGCGGCTACATAAAAGCCCACCAATTTGTGTGTTCCAAGATCAGCTGGATGTAGCTGAAGTTTCAGAGGTGAGGCATGACCTTCCTGGCGACCTCCCGCACCCTAAGTTTCACTTAATAAATTAACACATTAAGGTAGGTTTGAGGCAATCCTTTAAGGTCAGTTGAACTTTCACTGGAAAATACGAGTGCTGGCAAGTATATGCAGTATGTAATGCAAAATGTTTAGGGTGTGGGGAAGAAGTGTAAAGGAGCCATACCACAGTGATGAGCTTGGCTAGAAAAGAGACATGAAACAAGTTCTTTAGTGAAAACACCCTCAGAGACGGGCAAAGAATTTAGAGGGGTTGGTAGAATGATTTTGTTACCCCCAAGGGGAAAAACAGCAGATCAAAGCCCAAATGCACTTGCGAATGCTTGCTTTGAAATGTATCTATAAATTATAGCATGTACTGCTGGCATCTATTGCAGGCTTTGGTATTTACTTGAGTATATAATGTGAGATTCATAGTGCCCACAGTTCTTGTGTTCATGTGTAAGAGTGTGTTGGTGTAAAAATGTATTGGTGTGTAAAGCATGTTGGCAAAGGCAACGTTTTAGGTTCCCAAGTTTCCTAATTGTGTTTTTTGCCTCTCCCCTGTTTTTCCATGGTCTTTGTGCCTCATCCCTGTGATCGTGAGTCCCAGCCACCAGTTCACTAGCTAGCAGGGGATTCCTTCAGGGGTTGCTGGTATGTTTTAAAGCTCTTCCTGACTCCTTGCCACCTCTTAGTGTTGTTAAGGTGCCTGTGGTGACTGTTATCTTCTTGGTCAGGGCAGAAGGGGATGTTGCTCCCAGGCGAATTCACATCTGTTACCTCTCAGTCAGCAAAGTAGCTGCTTAGGCATGTCACCCTTTGCTTTTAACTCCCGCATCAGTCTCTCTGTTTTGTTGCTCATCTGGAGGCACAAGAGACCCGACTTCTTGGCACGGCAGAGCGGTACCAACAGGCTGTCCTAGGCTTTGTGCTCCAGGCTTTCTTGTGAGTCTACAGTTTTAAGCATTGCATTATAGACACCTCATTTGCCTTGCTGCCCAACAGAGATTATGTCAGGGTTTTGGCACAATTGGATTAAGTACCAGGCTTGGATAACTTCCATTGGCATTTCAGGAGATTTGCTATAAGGCAAACCTGTGACATTCATACCTTCCTAAGCTTGCACAACCAGGGCGAGAGCTGCAGTTGAGGTCTTGACCTCAGTTACTTAAGCCCCTTTCTCCCAGGAGCGTTCATCACTTTAATCACAGAGTCCTAAATAATCAGTGGGTAGCCTGTAATTAGGGGGTTGTGTCTTGGTCTCCTGCTGCCTGCTCCCGGTGTGCTGAGCACTGCGTATTTTGATTTCCCATTCCCCCAAAGGATGTTTGATCTCAGATTTACACTTTAGAAAATTAAGGAGGGTATGGCACCTCAGTCCCCTGGCAATCTTCCTGCTTTCAGTGGTAGGTGCTTTGCTTTGCCTGAGTATCACAGTGCTGCAGCGATTGACACACTTGATTTAAGAGTTTGATTTATAGACCGATACTAGGGCTGAAAGTCAGCAGTTCCAAGGCTGCATAAATCAGCTTGTCTCTGGGATTAATACTTCCTTATTTATAATTTCGACAGGAGATGGAATTCTTTCTCAATTCTTTACATTTCTTTCAGATGTAATCGACCACCCTGTCCTTTGGTTTAAAGCTATGTGACTTTGCCACAAATAGAGGGAGGGGAAAGTAAGCTGAGTCCAGGAATTGCTGTGCTATAAAAGCTCCATATTGTGTGCTCTTGGACTTTGCTTTCTCCCAGCTTCCTTCAAGCCCACACAAGAGATGGACTTGAGGTTTTTTTGGCTTTCTTCCCCTCCCCCCTCCCTCCATACATACGCTGACCTTTTAGAAAAATAAATAAAAGATAAAGAAGGACCTGGAATGTTGCAGAATGTGTGTACATTTTGCTCTCTGTTGTTTTCTGCTGGGATTAGTTGTTTACAATGGGGGAGAGAGGGAGGGCAGAGGAAGGGAGGTCTGTGGCCTTAACTGAAATTAGTGGCATTTCAGAGTGATCTTGTTAGGTGGTCTGCAGTTTAAAGACCTAAATCCTTGTAATCCCCCCATGCCTCCTTGGCCACTACTCCTTTTGCTCTTGTTCTCTCACTTTCAAAAAAACTCACCCCAAAGTCAGGCTCTGTCTCTCAGATGCAGGCACGTAGCGGACACACAGACACAGACACAGGCACACACTCTCATATGCTCCCATTTGCACGTTGTACCTGTAGAACAAATTAATGCTTTAGCTACATCTGTTCCCACTACAGGACTGGGCTTGTAAAATGCTCTCTCTAGAACGCAGACGCACACTGAATATTTTTATTTATTTTCTGAAAAACACCCAGCTGCCAGACTTTCAGTTTGTGATTACACTTAAAACAAATTCAAATTGAAATTTCAGCCGTAAATCAAATGCCCCAAATTAGTTCCTCTTGTGGGTTTGAACATGCTCTTTGGATTTTAAGGTCAGGAGATATCCGTTTTCACCGTGCTGAAAAGTTTAAAAATATACTACATTTTCAGGGGAAAAAATAAATATGGTTTGCATTATAAAGCAGTACATCAATGTGTGCATATGCACACACACACTAGAGCTGATGAAGCTGGATGCTGTCAGAGCACCTTTGAGGGCTAATAGCACCTAATTGTTATGGAAGGCAGGAACTATGGTGGCATTTTAGCCAAGGAGACTACAGCAGTGCCATCAGATCTGATATTTACCCTGTAAGAGAATAAAAGTTTATTCCTCACTCTTCAACTTGAAAAAAATAGTAAAAATTAAATAAACACAAAAAATACTTCTCTTGGCAGGCTTTACAACTTTTTTTTTTTTTTTAAGAAAAAAGGCATTTACAAGTGGTTTCAAAATGGCTGTGTTACATCTGTCAGCGGGTGAAGGGAACACCCACAAATTGTGTTTTTATCTCTTGAAGTTTTGTTCCACTTGAGCAATAAAAGCCGGATTTGCTGCTGGTTTGTGTGATTGGGGTAATCTGAGCGTTGTATGGCTTTAAAACTTCTGCAGTTGGTTGGGTTTATAAGTTTTAAGAAACTCCTGGGGTGGTGGAGTTCTTGGGTTTTGTTTTACCCTGGCACCAGGGAAGGGTTGATTTGCAAGCACCTGGCACAGACAAGTTCATCTTGGTTCCCTGGCCTGTCCCTCCCAAAAAATGGTTTGGCAGGAACCCCCATTATCTTTGATGTTAATGTCATCAGCAGTTTCTTGGTTACAATGCTATTCTTTCTCGGGGAGTTGAAAGCCTGTGCTCAAGTAGGCTCTGAACACACATGCAGTATTCTCCAGCCTGAACTCCAGACCGACAGCTTAAATCCCCTCTCTTTTGGGGAATATCCTCCTGCATGAGGGTAATGCTGAGAGGTGCAGTGCACTCACAGCTGCTCTCATGCTCAGGAGAAATGATAGATGGTGGGAACCTGAAAGTTTGCAGGGGAAGGCTTTCATCTGACTGGCTCAAAGCAATGAAGGAGGAGGTATGCTGGAACGCATGTTTTGGATAGGAGCCATTTCAGTGGGAAATGAGCAACTTCTCCCATTCCTTTTGCTAGTCCTGTTGAAAGCTAAGTCAGGATGGCAGCAGTGGGCAGTCCCGCTTCCACTGATCCCTTCCTTAGCCTGGCATAAATGCCAAATTGCTCTTGTTCTCAGCAGCTGCTATTGCACAGGACGATGGCCTGAGTCACTGTGCAGGCACACAAGGCTATTGGAAAGGAAGCAGATCATGACAGTGTGAGAGCAAAGACAGGCAGGGGTCTGCTGTGTATCTTTGCCGCTTTTTATCTTATTAACATGTTAGTAAAAACCTTGCCAAAGCAACCTGAGCTGGTTGCTTGAAGAATAATTGCTCATATTGCCTCCTTATAGGTCAGCAGAGGGGGAGTTTAAGTGAGTTAAAAGAATAATTGTTCAGAGGGGACAGTCTGTTCACGGGGGGTTTTAACTGTGAACCACTGCAACTGAGGTCCAGTTTTATTGCTTTTACTCCTGCAGAATTAATGGTGGTTTTGTGGGGCAGATGGTTTTTTGCTGTGACTCACACAAGCAACAGAATTGTAATATATTTAACGATAAATTCTTTGTTCTAGATAATAATGTTGTGTAAGCAGGAAAATACTATGAATTAATTTTGGGATCAGCAGTCTGGAATGAGGATCAATGTTTCACACTTCTGAGGACCTTGCCTGACCAGCACTCCGTTCAATACAGAATTGAGGCTCTGGGCTTTGACCCGATACCAAAACCCCTCTGTTAGTCCAGACTCCAGGCTAACAGTTCTGTCCACAAGCCAGCTTGATGGTACACTGCAGCTGTGCTTCACTAGTGCAGAGAGGAGTGATGGTGCCCATAATCAAGGTGGGGAATGGCTGCAGGTCATTAAACTGTGCAACTCACTGTGCAGAAGGTCACTGAAGCCAAAAATGTCTGGTTTTGACAGAGATCAGTTGTTGGACAACTGATTGTTGGTGAACAATAATGTTCACAGTTATTAGAATTAATACTGACAGAAATACCGGGAAGCAGATATGAGATGCTATGGTTCACAGTAGGATTGATATTGGGTTATCTAGGGGGAACAGATTACCTGCATCTCTCCAGGATTATAGATCTTGCTTATACCCTCTTCCCAATCAGCTGGTTTCAATGGGTGTTAGTATTTTTAGATACATCTTAGCTGCGTTTTCTGTCCTTCAATGACTCCTATCTACCTTGGCACATGTGAAAATAAGGAAAGAAACATTTGATTCACAGCTATTTTCTTCTCTGTAGCTTTGAAAGAAATTACATTTAATGCTATTTAACATGACTCATCATGCTGAAGGAACAGCATTTCAGGACACATCACAGATACTAGTAAAGACTGACAAATTCCAGCTTACTGGAAGAAGGGGCTCAGAGCAATGCAGTAACTCAGAACCTCTCAGCAGAGAAGATACAAACCCAGCAGTTGGATTCTGAGCTCCTTTCCTCTCTGGACAGTGGGACTGGCAGATTTGAAAGCTGATTATTACAGATTCAAATACATTTTGGAATAAGGTGGCTTTTGGTAAATTCCATCCTGTGTAGCATTTCAGACTTAGTAGTGTCAAAGGCAACATGAGCGTGAAGATACCCAAGGCAGGTAGTGTAGGTCTAGTGTGAGTTTCATTGGTTTAGTACTGCAGAATAATCATGTTTGGGTGCTTGAATGTAACATGAACAAAGCCAACCAGCTGAGCTATTGATCTGCCCCTTCTCTCCACCTTTTCTTAGTGCCTGACAAGCTGGAATGTATAAAACTGCTCAGAAAAATTTGCAGAGAAAGAAGGGGCTGCAGCTCCTGTTTTTAGCTGGGGAGCTGAGCAGAGAAGCCACCCCCACAGTTACCCAGACTGTCTGTGGAAAATACAAGACTTGATCCAGGTCCCAAATCTTTTATTCTGTTGAGGAAATGTAGAGGAAAGCTGTTCTAACAGGAGATAAAACTACAAATTCTTTTTTGCAAACCCCATCTGACACCTGACATTTAAGTTTTTTCAGCAACTGGGTGTGAGGATCAAGAGAACAGAGTTTTTGAGAAAAGAGCTGAACTGAACCTACTTACAGGATCATGTCACAGAGTCATTAGATATTCCAGCAGATACCTTTGTTTTGTGCCTGTTATTTAAATTATTTTCTTGCTTTGCATGTGTTTTTGTTGTAGGTGCTGTCTTCAGGGCAGTGTTATTTGTCATAATGCTGTGATTGAGAAGGGTGCAGACATCAAGGACTGTTTGATTGGAAGTGATCAGAGGCTGGAAACCAAAGGTAAGTACAAAAGCTGTATTTACTGTGCATTTGTAATAATTTTCAGAACTTTGTCCTTGAGATTTTACTCCTGCTTCTTCATGAAGTGCTAGTAAACTGTGGCAGTTCTACAGTGGGGTGTCCTATAATATCAGGATTTGTTTTTCATGGAAAGTACAGCTTCTTGGCATAAGTTCAGGGGCTTGCTCCTCTGAAGTTGGCAGCAAAGTTCTGTTGTTCTTATAAAGAACAAGCTTGGGTGCTGAGACAGTCTTTTCCCAGAGACCACAATTAGATCAGCCTGAGGTTGTCCTCAGCAGAAGGAGCCATTATTTTGACTAGTAATCTTTGTCAGTGATAGGGGCAGAGCAGGCAAATTATTGATCACACAAACATTCTTCTCTGTACATGGTCCCAACCCACAGTGCCAGTATGCTCCCATTCACTTTGCTCCAAGCAAAAGCTCAAGGTGGAGCATCATTTTAGGAGCTGCTGTGCTCAATATGAAATGCAAGGGCAGCCACGTTCAGATTTGCTTTACTGCCATGAAGTACTATTTTGGGGCTTCAGAAAGGATACAGCTACGTGGCTCTCATTTATACAGGGTTCAGCCAATCCAGTGGGAGTGCGCGTGGTGAGGGCTTGGTGGTAACCGCATGAGTGGAACTGTTGATTTCCTGCCCTAAGAGATAATGGGCAGGAAATGGCTGTTTCAGTGACTGCATCCCAAGCAGAGGCTTTTTAATGAATATTTATGGTTGGGGTTTGGCAGATCCCTGCTCCAGTGTGTGGACTGAGGACAAAAGTGAGTTCCTTTGCAGGCTCCATGTGAAGTTATTTAGTTAGATCAGGATTTATTTGCTTCCTTTGTCTTTGTGGGTGGATTCCCAAATCTAAGTGTCTTGATACGGAGCAGGGTTGAACATAATGTAGTATAGCGTAACCTATTGTCAGCTTTGCATATGACAAATTTTCCTTAAATTGAAACTAAAAATAAAAAGGACTCATGAAAACAAAGTATTGATAGTAGCAAAACTCTGATGCTGTAGGTAACACAGCGAGATCACTGTGGTCTTGGTCTCTGTGTGACTATGTCTACTCATAGCTTTGCCCATCACACCAGTCTGAATCAATGTCCTTTATGGTGTTCACTGCCCCCTGTCATAGAATCATTTAGGTTGAAAACGTCCTTTCATATCATCAAGTCCAACCATAAACCTGGCACTGCCAAGTCTACCATTAAACCATGTCCCTAAGTGCTGCATCTACACACGTACATGAATCACCAGGAGAGATGAACTGGGTCACTTTTGGTTGTTAACCTGCAGTGTGAACTATGAGGACACAGTGTAAATTTAGCTGATATTTTAGGAAATAGGAATATATTTGATTTCTTTAGTAGATGATACCAAACAGAAATATCACCCTTTGACCTTGATCACAGCTGCTTCGGAAGTATCTTCCAGGGTGCAGATCCTAGTCTGCATTGTAGTATGAAAACTGGTCTTTCTTCTTGATTGTCCTTGTCATCCTTGTCTCAGTATTTTTCAGGGTCTGTATATGTAACAGAGTAACAGAGCTGTATCATGGATCATTTGTCTATTCTTGAGATTACACTGCTCCCCTCCCCAAAGTTTAAACCCACTTCTTGGGTTAACCAGAGGCTGGGGGCTCTCTAGTTAAACTGTTTAGAAATGTATAATTGACATTAGCAGAGACATATTCAAGTAGATTATAAATACACCATTATGCTGAACAAGAAAAAATAGTAAAGCCGCAGTTCATTTTTCTGCCTCAGTTTCCTAACCAGTCTAGAATTTCTCTGGGCTGGGGGTCAGGTTTACCTTGGTGGTCTGGGATCTGTCTGTGAAGTTCATGACTTATTTCCTGCACCATGGAGTCTTTCCAGCCCAGCATGTCTCTTCTGACCTTGACTGGTCCTGTAGTAAACTGGGTCTTCTCTTTTTTGCTGTGAAAGCATGTCATGACTTCCTTTCCCCTGCCCAAGACTTCCTGTGTCTTGTGCCAAGCTTTTGGTGTGGCCCTGTAAATCTGTTTCTATATTGCCCCTTCATCAAGACTTTGGCTGTGTTTTTCTGTTTGGTAACTTTTCCTTCTTCAAACCTGAGCTTCCATGGCTGGGTTATGAAAAAACCTAATTCACTTGGGTAGGAGCCACCTTTTCTTGCAAGCTGATCACCCTTCAGCAGACATAAGCAGTAGCTGCTGGCTGCTGACCCTAGTCTGGGAGTTACACATTCCAGTTTCTGGGAGTAGAAACCTCCTCAGCAAAACTCCATACACCTTCCCAGAAATATGAAAAAAAAATAAAAATATAGCCATCCCTTATTCCAGAACATCAGCCAGGATTCATCAAAGGTAGAAATATCCCTGAATCATACTACACAGCCCCAAGCAGATCCCACAGTTCACTTTGCTGCAGAACTGGCTCTGTGCTCCCTGCTCTACCATATGAGTCCTGGCCACACTGCCCAGGCAACTTGGGGTACAAGAGTTCTTTGAGCCAGTGGTGCACTGACCTCCTTTCTTAAAATGAATTCCAGTTCTATGCAAGGAGGATGGCAGGAGAACAGCTACCACAAATGATAGGCAAACGTAACTTAAACCAGCTCTCATCCTTCTCCTTCTGCAGAATAATATGGGTATATTTAGGGTGGTCCAAATGGTACAGCTGGGAGTAATGGGATTGAATTAAACACAATTTAGGTTGGCTATCTGGAGCATTTTCCTAACGATGTGGTCTGGTAGGCTGTGGGATAATCTCCCTGGGGACATGGTGGGAGACCTCATCACTTAATAATGGGCTTGGCAAATCTCTGAACACCTAAATAGAGGGAATACTCCAACACTGGTTACAGGGGTAGATCACAAGCAACCTGGTATTTTCAAACTAATTAAGAAAATTGGAAACACAGGAGTGCAGTTAACTGTCAGCAGTGTCATCCAATGCATTGACTTCAGCCCTGTTGGACCTGTCACAGAACTGGCCAGAGACAGTATTTTTAAATGTCTCTATTGAAGTCAAGGTATGGTACTTTTTTAACTTCTGGATTTCCAAGCCATGCCTCCTGAGAGCCCTACTATTCTCCTACTGCTTTTATTACCATGCCTTGGAAGCTTCCACTTTCCTTCCTCTTTGATACTTAAAGGAATTTGCTAGCAGAAGCTTAGCAGATGGGCTTTGTGAAAGCTACCTCACCAGGTAGCAGTTTGAAAAACAAGTTGGTACCTAAGAAAAAGGCAGTAATTTTTAGAGGAATAGGAAATGGCAGACAACATTCTGAAAGAACATCATTGCACAGAGCATTCAATCACTGTTTTGAAGACAAGTCGTTAAGATTACACTGCCATCTTTTTGATAAACCTGCTTTTAAAGAGGAGCTCAAAAGCAGCATGTGCTCAATGAAGTAGGACTAGAGAGAGGGAGTGCTGGTGATGGACCAGTCAAGGAGTCAGATGAGCCTGGAGTCACTATAAGTACAGCTCCCAAAGGAGTCTCTCGGCCAGATTTGGCCGGGAGGACGTTGAACATCTGGTAGCGGTTAGCCAGGAACAAGCGTATATGGTAAAGCAGCCTAACTGTTCTTCAAGGTAAAGTGGCCTAACCTTTCTTCAAAGCAACACCAAGAACAGAGACAGTAAACACTCACACAAAGTATAAAGCTAGCAAAACTGGTATAAAATTCACCACCTTATCCCTTGCTTTCTTCTCTGTTGTCACTGGGGCAAGGATGTTTTGTTTGCATATTTATTTCCAGCATCAGACATGGGGCTCCAACTAGATCTATGTCCTACCTGATCCTGACTCCTGCTTCACAGCTGTCCACTGACTGGCTCTGTCCTAGCACCAGGCTCATCCCAGTCCTAGCCTTCTCTTTGGTTTTTCTCCTAGTCTTTCTCCCATATAGACTTTTGTTTTTCTCTCTTACTCAATTATTCCCAGACACCCACCTGACACTTCCTCTGGTCTGACCATAGCTGCTATTTCCAGTCCCCTTGCCTAACAGTCCCATGCTCCTTTTTTCATCTGGCACTCATTCTCTGACTGCTTTCAGTTGGATTGCATCCCTTTCTCTTATGCCTGAGCAGGCTCATAATGGGCACCTAAGGGGAGTGGTTCTGTGCAGAGTGCTCCACTGGTCCATACAGCTTGGAGGAAGCCCTGCCTGCCTGCTGCACTTCCATGGTCAGGAGTGCTCACTGTTGTCTCTGGAGCTTTTAGCTGCCCTCCTGAGAACATGTGCAAACTTCAGATTCTTTTCAAAGGCTTACCACATAGCCAAAACTGTGTGGTTTCTCACAAGAAGAGAAAAAGGCACATATCCAGTAAGGACTGGCTCCCGTTTCCAATCATTTTCCAAGTCCTGTTCCAAGCTTGGAGTCCCAGGACTTCTCAATGAAACAGAATAAGATTGTTTTACTTTAATGAGGGCCAAAGAGCACATTTTTCTCTAATGTCATCCTCTGAAGGCAGGTACATTTTTATGAAATCTTCACATGTGAATGGGTCCCTGCTTGTGAGGAGGCTTCACATAAACCAAGGTTTAACAGGATAGGGACAGAAATGAACCGAGAGGCTTTCTGATGCTCTCACTGCATTCAAGTAAGGGCGAGCATCTGCTCTTGCAAGGTACTGAGTACCTCCTGTTGCAGTCTTCAGGAACTGAAAACACTTAGCACGACACAGGGCTGGGATCAGAAAGCATGCTGCTGTGCAGATGGGAGTTATGAAAGCTCATGAAGAACAGACACAGACTAAACAGTGCACACATGTATATTGTGCACAGGGGTGCAAAATGAGCTGGAGGTGATGTAGGAATGGTGTGAATTTATAGCAAAACTGAGAGATTGGTAAGATTTCTCACTAAAGCAGTTTAACTACTGAATGTCCATGACAAAGATATTGTTGGCAGTTAAAACAGGCATCTCTTAAATAGTTGACATTTTTGTTTCAGTGACTATGCTGTGACTATACTGCTAACTAATCCTAATAAGCCTCCTTTCCAAGATGTATAAAAATGGTTTATGAGTTCTGGCCTTAGCAGTGGCGTAAAACTTCCCTAGAATATCCATCCAGCGATGCTTTGTCCTCCCTTCTGCTGCTGGGGACTGTCACACTTGTGCATACTGTCATTCCTAGCCAGGGAAGTTGAGGCTTCCTGAGTTAGCCAGTTAAATGTACTGCCACATTCGCAGCATGCTGATATTGAAGTCTACCCATAAGGCAGCAGTTCATAACCTTGTGGAAATATTTTTACATACTCCATGCAGAGAAAATAACCACTTCTGCTCTGCTAGAGCCCAGCCACATTAAAGAGCCAGGAAGAACACCCCAACGTATGCTGAGAAAGGAAAAGGGCTTTTGTCCAGTGCTGCAGGCAAATATGGCACCTCTGCCATCATATCAGGAAGTTAAGATGTGGACAGTCAAACTGCTGTTTTGAGATCTCTGCTTGTATTTGCTGTGAGAGGGGGGATAGCCCATGGGAGCACACTGATGGATATAATCCAGTCCCTTCTCACCCACTTTGCTAGGACTCAGTCCCAGTAGGAAGACTTCCTCCCCAAGGAGCTTGCTATCTTAGGTGCATCCATAGCTCTGGGTCTTCTTTTCTCTTTACTAACTTTTCTTCTAAGACAGTGACTGATCACTTTCCCATACATCTCCCTCCTGTTCTTTCACTCCCCCAGTCTATCTGTTCCAAGCCACAGTAAAGTCATCTCTCATTGGGCACTGAATCACTGTTACTTTACACTGTGAAGACACATCTATTCCCCAAAAGGGTTTGAGAGCAAAGGGATTCATTCTGGCTGAGCTATGAAAAAATCCTCAGCTGAACCATGAGGCTACCAGCACGGACAACTGGTGGTTGTTGGATGTAAGGCAGAAGTAAGATCTCTACTGCCTGCCTGTTCTGTGGGCTGAAGGCTCCAGCTATGGTCCAGAACTGATCTGCCTGAACCTACCACCAACCCCTGGGGTGAGCTACACATCCCACCCTGGGAGCAGCTGGAACACTCATGGAGATCATCACTGCTGGGGACCCATGGGCTCAACTGATGCCTGCACAGTGGGGCTGACCTGGCACTTAGGAGAAATTGTGAGACACACCTGGCCTTTGGGGCCACAGTGTGGTCACCCTGGTCTCCAGTGATCATGTAAGTAGAGCTTGGCTGAGGAGAGAACAGGCCTTGACTGGAAAGTCCCACTGCTCTGTAAACACAAACAAATCAGCCCCCATCACCTGCTTCCCTTCTTTATCTGTACATGTAATTTAAAACACCCTCCAGCCTCCCAAAGTCAAGCTTCAGCTGCTTCCCATCCCCTTAAGCCCCTTTAGTTCCTCTCCCCCCCCAACCTGGCTGCTTTTCCAGAGCCAACCATCACTGCAGAGACAAGTTGCTCTTCTCTCCCACTCTCTGATCCTTTCTGTCCTGGGTGAATGTGGTGGGAACCACCCACAGCGTGTTTTCGTGCATGCGTTTCTGCAGCCACCCCTCCCCCCGCCTAGTTTTTTAAGTTAAACTATCTCTTGCTTTAAAGAGAGCAAATACACAGCAGTGGCTTTCATCACTGCTGTATAATAGAGCAGTAATTCTGTGCCAGGGACTGTTTTCTATTTTATTTTAAAGGGTTTATAAAACAGTGTATGTAATTGAGTGAGTAAACTGAACGTTTTCTGGAGCCCCTGAGGGCTGAAACTTCGTGGTGGTCCTGGGCCTAGGCCCTAACCCTTTTTTTCCTCTCTTTTTTTTTTCCTCCCTTTCCCCTCCTTCCCCTCCTCCTTTACAACCCAGCATTGCCACCAGCAGCAGCAGCAGCAATCTGTCTGGGGCTAATTGAGCAAACAACAAGGAGATGCTTTCACATGGCTTTTAAAGGAATGCTCCGGCATCCCCTTTCTGTGAGCGGCTTGGCAGGAACCTGCCAGGAAGGCTGGGGAGCGCTGGGTCCCCGGCCCCCAGCCTGCTGGTGGGGTTTGTGCTGGGCTGCGCAGTCATTTCCGCCCCTCTGTTTATTTGCATTACAATTTGTTTTTAGCCAAGCACCAAAAGCTGCTCTGCTCTCTAGCTCGCCTTGTGCGTATGTTTTTAAGGGGCTAGTGTACAGTATATGTAAACAAATGTCTTCCCAAGCAGGAATGCATATATAACGAGTGACAGGTTTTTGATTTACACTCCGTAAAGTCTCCGTGGACACTCAGTTCAAGCACCCAGGCTGACTTCAGGCTGGGCTGCGTCAGCAAGTTGAAGCAAAGTGCTAATCAGGAGGTTGAATGTGTTGATCAGCTCTGGATTTGCTTAGCACCAGATGCTCCCAATCTGAGAAGATCTAGTTGAACATGATTTAAGGTTGAAGAGTCCAACTCTTAAGGCTTTCTCAAAGTCCTTTCTCTAATCCGTCTTCTTTCTCTGTGGGCTGAATGCATCTGTAACCCTGCCAGTGTCAGATAAAAGGCAGCCTGGTAAGAAATCCCTAATGGGGAGCTGGGGAAGGAGAAAGGGAGCTGAACAGCAAAGCATGTGAGGTACTTCTCCCTCCTCCCCCAGAGTTTCAGGCAGAGTTTCTGCGGGAACTGAGCTTGCTGGTACCAGCCAGAGCCACTGGCAACTGGCAGCCACGTCTGATAATGAAACGCTATCCATAGCTCAGCTCTCTGGCACACACACTGGAGTCTGAATTCCCTTCGCTCCACAAGAAGGGCTTTGGGAATGGAAGAGGGAAGCAGGGTGAATCCTTATCTGCCTATCACATCCCCTTGGGGCACGGAATGGGGCTTTGTTTCTAGCAAAACCAATCCCTTTATCGCTTAAAAACCTTCTCGCAGATTTTAGACAGGCATATTCATGTGTTTTCTTTAAGCCTTTATGAGAAGAAATCAGTTTGGTGATTTTGTCTGAGTCTGAGGTAGCAGTGACATACCGTGTGTGCCCACTTTGGGGAATCTGGGCCACAGGGATCAAGGAGGAGATGAAACAGGCACAGGGATGAGAGATGCAGGAATGCAGGCTCCAATTTCCCATGTGGCTTTGGCTGCCTGAACTCTCTAACTCACTGCTGCCTTGGTTTCCCCATCTGTAAAACAGGAATGCTCTTACTCACCCATTCTCAAAAAAACATTTTTAACTCATCAGGTGTAAAATATAAGACACCATAAGGCTGCTACAAGCATGTCAGTGCAAAATACAAATAGCTGCTATCACCTCTGCAGCAAGGTATGTGACAGGACTCATCCCAACTCTGCACATTTAGGATCATGGAGGATGCTGTCTGAAATGAAGCAAGAAGTTCCTTATTAAAATGTATTCCTACAGATAACCTATATATAGAACCATAAATTGACATGGCTCTCTATAAGCCTAGATGAAGGCATGTTTAATCTGCAGAGGTATAATGTAATTACTCTCACTGGATGGTAGCCAGGGTCTTATTCACATCATAGAAATCAACATGATAGGTAGTCTGCTTGGAGGAGGTTCAGGAATGGAGTCACAGGAGTTGCTACAGGGCCTGTTGAGATATATTGGGAAAGTTGTTTGGGGGTGAGGAATGTTACAGCAAGAAATGCTGCAGGTTGGATTTGAGGTACCTTGGCAAGGCTGTGTGGGGTCTGGGACAGGAGGAGAGAGGCGCTGAAGGCTGGACTTGGGGCTATTGGCAAGAGCTCTGCTGGAGAAGTTGTGTGGTGCTACCTACATCATGCTTGCACCTGGCACTTGTACAGTCAGCCCCTCATTTTCCTGAGCATTGCATCCACCTCTGCTCATCCTGCCCAAAGTGCTGGAGACTGAGCTCCAGGATGTTACTGTGAGGTTCCAGGACTAATTATCGGTTGATGATTAGTACCCTGAGCAAAGAGCTAAATGTCACAGTCTGATGCTGCAGGTGAGAAGCAACCCCTTGGTCTCCTTATTTTAGCCTTCCCGAAGAAGAGTCACTGAAAGGAAGTGGTATGACTTGCATATTCTGTCCCTCAGGCTGAGAAGATTGCATATAATCCATATTACTGTGGGATTGAGGTTGTAGTGAGAAATTACCTTGCCACAGTGCAAAACTCCTTGAAGTTCATACAACAGAATTTTATCAAACTGTTACTGGAGCAATGGTTTGCATGGTACAAGGGTTGTGACTTGAATTTTAAACCAAGAGAAGCACCATGTTGGGGATTGCCAGGAATTTCTTCCTTTAGCTAAAGGTAGCATATTTGTTGTTTTGCAGCAGTCTTGCAAGATCCACTCCCCTACAGGGAGGAGTTTTAAGTGGGTAAATAAAACACAATTCATCATCTCCATCATCCTTGGCTATCTACCCGCACTGCTGTATAAGGTGTGGGAGACACCACAGCCTCCACTGGTGTATCCCAGCTCCTCACAGGCCTTAACACTTTATCCCAGGCTCCAGAGCCAATTGTTATTCCTAATTCCAGGAGGTAAGATGAAGAGCCTAGGGGCATGGGACACACCACCTGAGCTCCCCCTGAATAGGTGTCCAGCTCCTGGAGAGCAGTTTAGATTCACCACCTCCTCCACAGTACCCTGAGGACACCCACTTTGAGCACACCAGCTTTGTGTCATGCTCTGAGACAGAATGCTTGGGTTTTTTAGGCACTGGGCTTTCAGTTGCGTGTTTTTATTATTTTGGCTTTAGATCCTTTATTTGCAGTCCTTCCCTGACAAGCTGCTTTTGCATTTTAAAGGCAAGGCTCTTTCAGTACAGTGCATTAACAGTGCTGGGGCAGGGACTGGCACATTAATGTGTCCACTGGGGCTGTGCAAAGCTCCTGGGAACAGGCAAAGGAGTGACCTTGCAGAAATTGCCCCTCCAACAAATTTACTCCACAGGAGGGTCAGGTTTAAATTTAAAAAAAGAAAAAAAAAAGAAGAAAAAAAAAGAAGAAAAAATAAAAGAAAACAAAACAAAACACAAAAAACCCCTCTTGTTTTTAAGCTGTCAGGACTGAGTTGAGATTGTTGAGAGGATCTCACGCTGCCTCAGTGAAGGACCCCTGGTGTTCCAAGCAGTTTGGGGCAGACAGTGCTCATTAGGGCCAGGGTGGATTACTGATCTTTAATTTTATGTCTGATCTCCATGTTGGATGCTGATGGTTCCTTGCCTTGACCTAGGTGTACACCTGTCAGTAGCAGCTGTGACTTCCGTAGGGCCTCTCTTGTTTATTAGTGACACATACATGTGAAAACTCTCATTAGAGAAATCTCGTGGTGTTTAGTCAGTTGTTTAGGCTTTCACCATGTGTGTGGGATACTGTCGGAGAGACGCTGGAGTCCAGCAAATCTCTGAGTTCCCCAGAATCTGCTTTTCTCATTTGTTTTAAAGTTGCAGGTTTGAAAAACGCAAGGTCTGAATCTCTTCTGCAAAACTCAATTGCTCTTCTTTTTCTCCCTCTCTCTTTTCAGCCAAACATGTTAATGAAGTCATTGTGGGCACCGAACAGCTGATGGAGATATAACCCAAGTAGCTTTTAAAGATGATTTTATGGAAGCCAGCAGCAGAACCAGATGTTCAAGCATCGTAAGATCATCCGTACAGATCAGTACTGGCATGGTTTACCCTGTCATTGCTCCTTTCCTGTTCAGCTTTATATTTATGTCTTAATAAAGAAGTATTTGCAGAGCGGAGTGTCCGTCAGCCCCTCCCCCCTCATTGGGATGCGCGCGGGTTTGTGCCGGGTTATATCGGTTCCTGCGCGCCCGGCCAACGCACTGTACTTTTCCAGCAGAAAGGAGAGCGGGGACCACACAGACTGTGCCCACTCCAAAGAATGACTTAGCCGCCCTCCCTGCGGTGTAAACCACGTCCCTGCAGTCCTGCACCACCGTCCCTGAGCCTGGGAGAAACTGCTCGGGATGCTGCTTGTGCATCTCATCAACACAGCAGGCGGACAGCGAGAACAGCGGCGGTGCCGGCTGCGCTTTGCAGCCCGGCAGCTTCGTCAGCCTCCTCCTCCTTACTGTGTCTCATGATGCTGCCCCACAGCACAGAAATGTTTAATCTGTGCCTCTTCTCCTCTCTAATGCAGTCAAAGAGTTTGGCACCCATTTCCATCAGGGCTGATTTTGGTTTGATACTTTGAAATCCTACCCAAGAGCAAGTATGTGAGGGCTGGTGGAGCATGAAGGGGACATGAGGTGTAAACAGTGGGTACTCCCTGCCTTATTTTGGTGGTTCTTCCTGTCAGTCCACTGTTCCTAATGCCAGACAAGAGGTCTCTCCCCACACTTGGATGATCCGTGGATGACTGTACCTGTGTTTCTGAGATGAGTTGCTCGTGCTAATGTGAAATGCACAGCCTTGTGGTCAGGGCCTGTGCCAGGATTGTAAAGCACCTGGATTGGATTGAAACACAAGCTGTTCTTTAATGTTTATAAATTGGACACAAGTTCCTACCTAAAAGCTGTTTATTAGAATGTAGTAGGATTGAACGGGGCATTTATCTGCCCCTGGCAGTTTGACATCCAGAGGTGCTTACAGCAACTGGCAGGGATGGTATTTCATTAACTGAAGTGATAAATGTGTGCTTCATGGGCATCCGTGACCCCTGAGGAGAGTTACCATTTCCTAGTTAATTTGACAGGCGAGAGATTATAATCCAGACATTCCCTGAGTTTCGTAAACAAAATCCTTCCTCTAAAGGACCAGATTGGAATGGAAACTATGGGTAAGGATGAGCTTCAAGGCCTGTGACAAGCTGCAGAGAAGAAATGCACTGCAGTTCAGCTCCAGCTTTGTGCTGGAGGTTTTGTCTCACGTATGTGCGCAAACATGTTCCAAAGATACAGAGCCTTTTTCATCCAAGGATCTCAGAGGCTTTACAAAGGTTAATTAAAGAGAGTTCTTGTCTCTGTGTGCGGCAAGGGAGAGAGGCTCCATTTTGGGTGTGTAGAAACAGAAGCAGAGTGGAGTGTAATTACCTGGCTTTGCATTTTACCAGAAGGCTGGCAAAGCCATGAGAGGTTTGTAGGGACTTTTACTCACAGTCCTTTTGCTGAAACACAAAGCCTTCTCCCCCTGGTTTTTAGGATACATCTTAACTTCTTAAAAGTCTGCATTGCCTTGTTTAGCAGCCACAGCTTTACCTTCTTGTGCCTTAATTATATGTTAAAGTCTCAGTCCTTTTGTTTGGCTAATTTAAGAAGAGGGTGGGGGGCTCTTTACTGTGTCGGTTAGAATTTAGCATTAATTTAGTGTTCTCTGACACTTGAAAATCTGGCTGGGATTTGAGGCATTTTCTTTTCCTTTTCGCCTTTTACGACCTGCAGGTGTTTGGTGTGAGATAAAAGTAGATCCCAAAGTGAGATTTCACAGCACAAATTATCAAAGTGAAGATTCACTCTTGATGTAGTCTACGTGTGTGGCAGTAATTATGAAAAATAGTTTGGGATAATAGGGCCTTCAGGAATCCCAAGGCAGGCACTGGGAGGTTAACCCTTCCTCATCTAACCTGGTCTCCATGCTGCTGTCATCACCAGGTGAGCATGTGATGGGTTGGGTCAGGCAACTTCACAAACCTAGTGATGTTACAGTCATTGAGAAAACTGGGGAGGTGACTGAGGGCATGGAGTTCTGTTGCCAGGTAGTTTTGGACATGACTGTTTGGTCCCAGGTCATAGAGACATCTGCTCACCAACTTTGAGGAATGGAGCACCTCTCAGAAACAAATAAGCTGCTCTGTCACACCCAGCCAGCTGAGCATTACAGCTTGTGGCCATCATGGTGTTAACTGGCATCAAAGTGGTGCTATATAGGCAACATTTCTCTGAAGGAGATGAAAGTTCTCCAGCTCCGTAGGTGCTGGCTCTTTCTGGACAGACTTGTCCTGAACACTTTCTTGGCAGATGTAACGCCAGGGTTGCTGTGAAGAGGCTCTTGCAGTTTGTCACATGCTGGATCTGCATGGGGTAAAGCAGAGGTTTGCCGTGATGGCCAGCAGGACCACTGGCTTGCGGTTTTCCCTGCGTGGTGTTTTGCCAGCTGCTCCCAAAAGGCTTTTCCTGTGACCAGGGCAGCAGGGTTGGTGTGGGTGCAGAGCAGTGTGCATGCACACCTGGCCACACTTCTTCCTGTGGGTCTTTCCCCCCTGGCACACCATGACAGGGGCACCTGAAGCTCTGCCCCCTCACTCGCAGCCAGGTACTTGCCAGGATTTTTGCAGCCAAGCCCATTTTTAAGACACATTTGTTGGGCAGCTGAAGCCACCCAGAGCCGTGGCTCACCTCCCTCAGCAGTTTGTGTTTGCTTTTGTAGGTGGCTATTGAGATCTCTCAGGAAGCAGCAGCTCATCTGATCCCTTCTGCAGTCAAACCAAAGCGGATGGCTCCCATCTTCCTGGCAGCCCTGGAAGAGAGCCACATGAGGTGAAGACAAACAGCCAGCCATTCCCAGGGATGGTGGGCTTCCAACCCCCACGGTGGTTCAAATGGAGACAAAAATTTTGCACCCAGCTCTGATCTTGCTTTTGGGACAATTTTTTGGGCACAAAGATGAGAGCAGAACCTGAGCAGTCATATGGTCTCAGGTGCACAGGTCTGGCTCCCCCAGTCACCTATCCAGCTGACACTGTGTGTGCAGCCCTAGCAGTGGGACTCTCATGAACCTCTCTGTGTTGGGATCAGAAAGACTTGACAATCTTTTATTGCCTTCAGTCTCCAAGGCTGATTGTGCACAGCCATGCTCCTGCTGGCTTCCTTGCTGGTTTCTGCACCCCACTGTCCTTACTCTGGCTGCCTGGGAAGAGTGCTTTTCACTATGCCCCTGTCCACCCTTTGGACTTTGCTGGTCCAGAGATGAGAATTTTCCTAATAAAACCCCACAGGTCTGGGGAATACCATTGTTTTCCTGAGGTGCCTTACTGTCTTCACGCTGGCCCAAGTCCCCAGTGAGGGCCAGTAATGGCTGCTGTGGTCCCTGCCCAATGTCTTGTGAGGGGCAGAGTGAGATCAAGCCCCACGTGGGGCTCGCAGAGGAGCCGCTTGTGCCGGCAGCAGTGGTGTGACAGACGCACGTCGCACAGTGTGTGGTGTAATCCAGCCCCAGGACACCGCAGTGCTGCCCTCCCGTCACACACAGCCACTCCTGTGGCCTTTGGTTATCTGTTTTAAAGGATTGATTCTTGCAGCGGGCGGGCGGGGCTGGGGCCTTCGGCATTGCAGGCTGCCCACTGTGCCCCGACCCAGCCCGTCCCATCCGCGGGGGAGCGCAGAGCGCAGGGCCCTTCTCACTGGGCCACCTGCAGAGTTAATTTGGGGATGTGGAGATTCCCTCACAAGCACCCAGCACCCCCACCCCACCCCAGCAGCCTGCCCACCGAGGCTCGCTCCCTCTCAGCCAGGAGACTGATTCTGGATCCTGTCGGTTTGCACTCCATCTCCCAGGAGCCAAGGTCCACAGCCGCGCCTGTGCCTCCCAGACGGGCCGGCAGACGGGAACTTCCTTCCAGGACCTATAGACAGACATTTTATATACGTTAAAATACGTGTGTATATAAATATGGAAAGCAAGAGCTTGGGAGAGCTTGAGTCTAAATAAACTTGTATGTTTTAGGCTTTTAAAATGCTAATGTTGAATTTCAGGGGATGGGGGACGGCAAGGGGATTGTTGGACTGAGGACCAAGACAGCTGATGAGCTTGGATCAGTGCCTTTACAATTCAAGGAAAAATGGGATAGTTTGGGAAGGGAAAAGGGATTTTCTTGTTTTTGTTTTTAGTAGAAAATAAAAGAAGCTGCCTTCTTATTTGCCTCCCTCCCCCAGCGCCGGAGCAGCGAGCGACTGGTGTTGTATGCATAAGCTATTCCTTTGTGCAACATCTAAATGGTTAATTGTGTTTGAGGAAGATGTACGGGCGAATGGAGGGACCACCCAGCAAGAGACAGACAAGAAAGAGCGATCTCTGAAATGTTTAACCAGAGAGAGAGCAAAGTTGTTTAAAAATATTTAATTTACAACATTCCACACTGCTGATTATAAATCGGCCGTCCAAAAACACTGCTGTGTGCGGGGAGGGATCCAGGCAGCATGAAACAAATTCTTGTGATTGTTTTTCCTATCTTCCTCCCTCCTTTCCTTGGGGAGTTTAACCCTGTGGCAGGATGCGGGTTGCCCCAGGCAGGGAAGGCAGCACCGTTCCCCAGGACTGTGGTCTCCGGTGCGAACACCTGCGCCCGGGGCCAGGATGCAGCCGCCTGCTGGCGCTGGGGGAATTGGAGGGGATGGTGAGGAGCAACCAACCGAGAGCACTGGCAGCGGTGACGGGTGTGATGGTCAGTGGGCAGCCTTGCAGCCCCTTCCACTGGTGCTCTGATCTCCACCCCAGCACCAGGGTTCCCCAAAGCATCCAGCTGTGTTCCCAGACAAGGAAAGCCATGAATCACCTGTTGACAGGTTCAGAGACTTGAGGAGGCAAATCTGGCCAGTCTGTGCCATCCATGAGAGGTTGCTTACCATGGTGATGATGGCATCTGCTCTTTGGGTTGGCAGCTCAGCCATGTCACCCAGCCATTCCCAGCAGCACCAGGAAGGACCCAGGCCCTCACAGGGTCATTGAGCAACAGCAACATCTTCCCCTGCTTGGGCCTTTCTGCAAAGGGGGTGGTTGGTGCCGGATGCCGGGAAGAAGGGATTTGGCCGTGCTCTGCTTGCAGCCACTGCTGATCCACAGCTGGCTTTGATGCACCCCGCCCCCATAGCCATGCTCCCTCCATGCAAGGGGCTGGGACTGCTCTGTGAGGAGTCCGATCTGCTCTGGATGGTGGCCAGACCATCCGCCCCATCACCTGAGGATCACTCCTCAATTCTCTCACATGATGTCCTTTCCAGTCTTCATAGCCCCTATTCTTCCTGTAGCAAGGGACTTCTGGGACAGGAGGCTCCTGGGAATGTCCCTGGGAGACCAGGTGGGTGAAGGATGCACATGGAATAAGGGGTCTGCCCCTTATTCCTCAGGCCTGTCATTGTCCACCCTCATGGATGTCACCTGAGGGTGCTGGGGAAGGGAGGAGAGGCACAGCCCCTGGCTGGTGACCCCACCCCACAGAAAGGATCTGAACAGAGCTGAGGGATAGTAGGCATGCAAGAGAAACCAGGATCCAAAAGCAGTGGCTGCTCTCACTGAAGATCCCTCCTTGGAGAGCAAAAGCCAGGGTGCTTTCACACGCCTGTTGCCCCAGAATCCCTGGCCATGAAGCTTAGGAGCCCAGCCAGCGGGGAGGGCAGGGGTCTCGCCTGTTCCTGGTGTTCTGGCAAGAAGGGGGAGCACGGGGAGAACTGCAGGGCACTTTGCCGGGGATTGCCACACATTTCCTAACCCCTCATCAGCCAGGAAGCCTCGCTGGCCACCTGGACACTTCCTCGCGTGCAGCGAGGGCCTGTGACAGCCCGAGGAGCCGGGGTGGGTTTGGCTGCTTGCCCCGGTGGCGAGCTCGGCTCTCAGTGGCTGCACCGCTCCGGGCCCTGCCAGCCCCAGCCGGTGCCGGGAGCGAGAGCGGAGACAAAAGAGCTTGTGTCCGCCTGCCAGCAGCCGGCCCCGCCGAGCGGCCGCCCGCCCAATTAAACCGTGCCCGCTTCCCATGCGGCAGGGGCGCCCGGCGGGCTCGCTGGCCCCCTCCCACCACCCACCGGCCCCAGGGGACCACCACCCTGTGGGGCCTCCCCTGCCTCCCTGCAGGCGCCAGCGCTTCCGCAGCCCTTGTCCAGCACGAATACGCTCCCTCGGTCCCCCAGCGAGGGCACCTCCACGGGCTCGTGCTGGGGACGGCTCGCCCCAACCACAAACATCTCCTGTTCCCCCAGCTTTTCTCGCAGCCGCCAGCGCAAGCAATGGAGTACTGAGCATCCCTCCCTGCTCCTGCTGGCCCCAAGGGCTGGATCAGGATGAGACCTGGCAGCAGCAAGCTCTACCGCGGCGGGAGCATCCCCGCACTCCCTCCCGACCCACGGGGCCGGTGTCACATCCACTTAGTTGGGCTCCGAAAATCCCTTGCCCTGACACCTTGTTAAATTCCCACCAGGGGTCACAGTTCCTGGGATTCTTTTTCCTGCTTTTCCTTTACCCCGCTGAGGCGTTTCGGTTGGCAGGAGCTCTCCCCCCGCTATTAGGTATCTTTCGGGGAACAAGAAACCTAGATCACTTACAAATTAATTTGGAGTTAAACCTACAGAAAATGAGAAACATGCTGCTTTGCAGGAGAGAGTGCTTGGCCAGCGATCAAGAAAAATACATCCAAAGCGCCCGATGCGGCGGCTCGGCCGCGGCCGGGGATGGGGGCTGCGCGCTCAGGGTAGCCGGCAGCTGTATTCGGGTGCACCTGAATGGAGCTGAGGCCTTTCCTCCCAGTTAAAAGGGAGAAAAGGGGAGTAGCAACTTCCCAGCATGCGGGGGAACGTGGGGAAGGCTGGCGTGGGGTGTAGCACTGCAGCACGGGGCGGGGGTCTGCCTGCTCCAGCACCTTTGCCAGCGGGATGAGGACCAGCCCATGTACCCATGGTACAGGACACCTTTGCACCAGCGTTTCCCCATCGCTGCACCCCTGGGGCCACAGCAGCTTGTGCCAGGGCTGGTTCCCGAGAAGGGGTGGGATGCCGTGTCCCCTCATCCCACGGCGCCTTGTGTCAGCCCTGTGGCCAGCGCGGTGCCGTTGGACAAGGGAATGCGGAGCGATGCAAAGGATCCTGAGCCCTTTGGCAGGCGGGTGGGAGCAGCCCCCTGTGCCAGGCACTCCCGGAGGGTCACGGGTGCGCGTTTGGCCGCCACCGCGCATTGTGTCTGCTGCGCCAGCGGCTGTGCCGGGAGGGGGCCATGCGGGGGAGGCCGGGGCGG